ACTCACGCACGATCATTATATTTCTATAATGCGGACTGGTGGTCTCAGAACTGCGTAAATTTTTTTTGTCTCAAAAACCCTACCTACTGAGATACGATTATCTCCGACTCACTGAAGCTTAGGACTTCCTAAAGCTATTATGAGAACACTACTCTATAGAATTTAAATAAGCAGAAACAACCTTAAGACCGTTATAGGTTTTTTTTTAACTTGAAATGCTTCTGTGCAATGAATTTCTCCATATTGGAACGTTATAGTTTAGTTAATAAAGAAAGTAACTCATTTTTATTATTTATTATCAATTATTTATTATTACTTATTATTATTTATTAATAAATATTATTTATAAATACAACGTTACCACCTAATGAGTTACTTTCTTCATTGAAATGCTTCTTTTTACAGTAATGTTTAATTATAAATTAACACATAAGTACCTATATTAATAACAAATTCTTCTAAGAGATAATTGCTCAAAAAGGCATAGCAGAAAGTTACCCTGGTTGAGTAATCTAGTTACCAACAGTAAATGTGGACATTTTGTAGAAAATATTGATAAAGGAATGTTAACGTGTTTCAATTTCAGTTTTATATAAAAAATGGTACAATTAAAATGAATTGGATAGGGAAACCGTCTTTTGTATCGTACCTGAATTACAATCTTCGTTTTGAACACTAAAATGCGTGCGAAACCGAACCCTTAAAACGCAAGTGCTTTAAAGGTTATGATAAGTAATGTTACTTTACTTCAAATATGACTTGTGAAACTGCTATCTTGGGCCTGAATTAAAAATTTTCTTAGATCGCTTTCTGTAAATGCAAAAGCTTTGTAATATCCCTTGTTTGAAACTTTCACAAACGCACGTAATTTAGGGTATGCTATCAAATCTGTTCCACTTTTTAATCGCCATATTTATATATATATTTATATGTATTTATAATAGGGTTTACTGGATTTTGCACCTAAGTCATTTTATTTATAAAGACACAAAACTCTACATAATCAGCACAAGAAAAAGATGCGTTGTTGTGTGGGACTTTAACTTTTGTGAACTAGCTATTGCTGGCAAAAGTCAAAATAATAAAAAAAGAGCGGACCAAGGATATCCCGTGGATTTCGTAGGATGACCGACTCCCTCTCGCGCCGCAATATTGGAAAAAGGGTACGAAAATTCAGTTTTTCGATAACTTCTTCGGTCCAGCGCCAACTCCGTGAAAAGTAGCTATTACGAAAGTTATAGATCACACAATTTCCTATAACGTTCGTATTTAAAGTTTTTTAAACGGATGAATATTTTACGACCCACAGTCAAGCAAAAGTCAAGAAATTTTTTAATTTGTAAAATCGCAATAAGTACTATTTTCTCCAAATATGGACGTCATTTGTTTCGTGTCTAGAGAGGGCGAATGCGAATTAAAAAATTTCCTGACTTTTACTCGGCTGATGGCTCGTAAAATATTCATCCGATTAAAAAACTTTAAATACAAAAGATATAGGAAATTTTGTGATTCGTAATAGCTACTTTTAACGGAGTTGGCACTGGAACGGAGAAATTATCGAAAAACTGAATTTTCGTACCCTTTTTCCAAAATGGCGATCATCATCAGGACATTCACCTTAACGTACAATTTATCTGATTTGGAACGCGTCACAAAATGGCATATTCCGCGAGCATCTTTTTAAAGTTTCCTATTATTCAATTTACGCGAACAAACCATGGGGTTTAGTTATGACCACGGTGGTCTATACCACCATTAAGTTTTTTCCGCATGTTCAATAATAGGAAACTTGGTCTATTATACCACCGTGGTTATGACTCAGATTGATAAGCGAGAATGACTTTCGCATAATCGCCCGATGACAAATGATGCTTGCAAACCATCTCTAAATACGAAAACAACGCCCGATACTAAATGAGATGCGATAGGTACATGGAGTGAAATCAAAAATTCTTTTTGCATTCCAGAGTTTTCTTATGCAAAATGTATGAACGATATAGCAATTATTTCTGGATATGTACACATTTTTTGCTACGAAATGGTTTTTGTTTTGTATTTCAGAAGTTAATGCACAAATGACCGCAAATTTTACTTCGACTTTAGTGACGTGGTAATAAAAACGACACTGCTTTTCTAAAAATCGAAAAAAATAAACGTTTCCTACCTTTTTTCTCGCGTTCTTTCCTCCAACCCATCGCTAGGATAACCACCATGGCAATTGGTAAAATGAAAATACAAAACTAACGGCATAACACTCACTCGAAATGGACGCACTGACTGTTACTACACGTATACACCAATAAACTGAATTAAGATTTCGTTATCGCTATAAACTGGTCGGCCATACGCAATTTTGAACACGTGTACATTTTTGATGCGCGTCGATATAATTAACAGGTGGTGATAATCCTCATTATTTTAATCGAAATAAATTCTCTTTTGGGAAGTTCATAAATACAATTTGATCTATATCAGAAAAACAACTCTACTATGCCAAATTTAAACTTGATTCAAATTGGTCTTAAAAAGTGTCATCAACTACCTATTTCCACAAGTGTTCATTCATGCTCAGTCAAAAGATAAAAATTCGATTTGTATATTATGAAAAGTAAAAAGGTTGGTCTAATCTAATATTCCGATTTAAATTTACCATCACCGATTTAATTAGCATCTTCGTTCCCATCTTGAGCCGTTAAAGATGGGCGGCCTATATAATTTCACATTTTACAATTAAAATATAAATCAAAATAGCCTAAATATGGAGGAGTTTCTTTTTAAGGCTGGGATCCTTCAATGTATTCTTTACATATGATTTTCAAATTAGGCCAGCTCCTAAACGAATGCATCAATCGCGGAGATTTTTTAGGACGTGTAAGATACATATTGAACTTAGGTCTGGGTATACATTAAAACTGAACTATTTACTTTAAACTTGTAAAAAAAAATAAATAATTTTGCGTGTCGCGTCGACTTTGTGAGGCTATAAAGTATTTATTCCTAATAATTTAGTAATGTAATAGGTATCCACACCTAAGTTGGGGTCTTCGTCAATGATAACTGAAGAAATCATCTAAATTAATGCATTCGTTTGGGCACTGGCCTTAATCAAAATTTATTTGACACGATATGGTATAAGTATCTATTTTGTAATGGCCAAACTAACTAAAATTGTTTTTGCTATTTTTACCAGAAGCAGCGTATATCAGCAAAACTAATAGGTGCATGAGAAAGGACCGCTAAAATATTGGGAGCGATTTCCAAACCTGCCTCAGTATCACCCATCAATACCGTAGAGAAAGTCCAGAAGGTGGAAACTATAGTCGGTTTTACGTCATGTCTAATTAAATTAGTATGGGGAAGGTTTTGTGTTTTTGTTGGTTATTTTAACGACTTTATTAGCAATTATCATCTGCTGTTTCGCAGGAAAATCTTTCACTTTAACGTTAAATTTATCTGACAGGTAACTTTCATGGAGTCAAATGTATTTACATGGAAGGTCGATCGGAAAAATTCAAGTGAACCATGAAATTGTAATATTAATCAGATCAAGCACTAAACACAAACAGCTACATTCAACGCACGAAAGTAAAATTTTAAAAAATGTGGCACTTGTTATTTGGAACGTGTCACAAAACGGCACATTCCGCGAATATCTTTTTAAAGTTTCCTATTATTGAATTTACGCGAACAAACCATGGGGTTTAGTTATGACCCAGATTGATAAGCGAGAATGACTTTCCCATAATCGCCCGATGACAATTAGATGCTTGCAAACCATCTCTAAATACAAAAACACCGATACTAAATGAGATACGATAGGTACATGGACTGTAATCAAAATTTTTTTTTTGTATTCCAGAGTTTTCTTATGCAAAATTTATGAACGATATAGCAATTATTTCTGAATATGTACACATTTTTCTTGCTACAAAATAGTTTTTGTTTTGTATTTTAGAAGTTATGCACAAATGACCGCAAATTTTACTTCGACTTTAGTGACGTGGTAATAAAAACGACACTGCTTTTCTAAAAATCGAAAAAATATAGGTTTCCTACCTTTTTTCTCGTGTTCTTTCCTCCAACCCATCGTTAGGATAACCACCATGGCAATTGGTAAATAAAAACACCAAACTAACGGCATAACACTCACTCGAAATGGACGCACTGTTACTGCACGTATACACGAATAAACTGAATTAAGATTTCGTTATCGCTATAGACTGGTCGGCCGTACGCAATTTTGAACACGTGTACATTTGATCTGATGCGCGTCGATATAGTTAACAGGTGGTGATAATCCTCATTATTTTAATCGAAATAAATTCTCTATACAATTTTATCTCTATCAGAAAAACAACTCTACCTGCCAAATTTAAACTTTATTTAAATTCTTAAAAAGTGTCATCAACTATACCGATTTCCACAAGTGCTCAGTCAAAAGATAAACATTCGATTTGTATATTATGAAAAGTAAAAAGGTTGGTCTAATCTAATATTCTAATTTAAATTTACCAACTTTTCACCAATTTAATTCGCATCTGCAGAAAAGCCTTCTATACTATCCAAAAAGTAGGCTTTGTAAAAAAAAGTCACACATTTCCATAAAAGTACAACGTTGCCGGCACCAATTTTTACCAAATATTTAATCAATGCTTAATCACCTTGGTTAGTTAATCAAGGAGTTTTTTGTTTTGTGCATACCAATTGAATTTAATCAAAGGTCTAATTTAATCATACTGATTAACTAACGGCCTAATTATTTATTGTTTCTGCATTCGGCCCCTAGTCAGTTACTTTATTATGTTATTAGTTTAGTTTATACGAGGTAATGATAAACAATATACCTACCCTGTAAATTGATTTTCGTTTTTGTAGAATATTTTTGTTATTATTA